CCCACTCTGGCACGTCAAAACAACATTTCTCACCTTTTATCATGGCGGGCCTTTTCTCCTCATCTGCCATCCCTTAGGTGCCTGCTCCGTATCGGGGATCGTCATTTTCTCCATCATCGAGGCCACTCTCTCCGTCCTCTTCTCCTCCACTGCCTCTTTTGTCACCATCGGGGACACTCCTCCCACTCCACAAATAAAAAAAATGATTCTAATGTACCCTTATCCGTCCACAATTGTGGGATAAGTCCTATGTGACCCCCTTTTCCGTTACTTTCTCTATCATCCCTCTGTCACCCCCTCGTCTACTTGCTACATCACTTTGTAGCACTATGACCTCATCCCAAAGGTCTACTAAATGGCTTCATAGTGCTCCAACACCATGGCATAAATATGCTACTTTGCCTTTCTGCTCTCGTCATAGTGCTCATAGCTTCTCTCACAATTCTTGTCATAGCGTCCCCACTTTCTCTAATAAAATCAGTCAGGCTTACACATAGATCATCCAAATAATGATTTTGACTGTGTAGGAGATCCACAGAGAAGGTGCTTGGATGGAAGAGAAGGAGATCCTATTCGCAGAGGTGATGTACAGGGTGAAGATGATCGTCGATCAATTAGACTGCTCTCCTACACAAATGATAACATTAAAAATTAATAACTTCATTAAAATAGTCCAACTCATACAAAATAGTAATCAACTAATTATATCCAATTAACATACTCAATCTTAGTTAAAGATAGAATCGAACATCTGGTCGTCTTTAATATGCAGAATGGATTATTTAGGTACAAAACCCTGATCGTCCTCATCCGTCGATGGCATCAAATCAGTTAAGACTTCAAACTGACCTATTAACATTTCAACTAATTAATGATCATGTGCTAAGATTTTGAAATGACATACAATATAAATACTCACCCGAAGGTCATCAAGGAGATATAATACACACATACAATTATTATATATAAATTTAGTATAAAAATATTTTAACATTGATTATGTTAAACATTTACTTACACTTTCAAGGACAATCCATAAGTATCGTACTTACGCAAGGGCCCTTTAGGCTTCAAATGTGATCTCATGAAGAAGTGTATGGTGTATTGAAAACATCTCCAATCTATGGACATTTGTTGAAGGCATCGATGTCGTCAACAATTTCCAAATAAAGAAGGTCAATCACAGTCCTTTTGCAATGATACCTCACCATGCTCTCAATAATATAGACCAATCCCAACTTCAATCTATCCAACATCTGGTCGCACTCCCTGATTGCGCCAATCAACTGCAGTAAAAGAACCTTTCCTTGTCCCTAAAAACATGCCCCGTACAGCCTATTGTTTCTTTGAGCACCATTGCTTACTGCTTCATTGCCTGTAATCTTCAATCTAGTCATGAGAGAAAACTCAAATATGGAGAAACTAGCAACCTTATTCTTGAGGTCGAAGTAGAGTGCATCATTGTCAACTGACCTAAGCAATCAACATAGTAATAACTTAAATCAGTATGGGATCGAGGAATTGAATCTAGCTAGGGTGATCAGTGACCTGTAACCATCGAATGCGAGATCGTTTATTAATATTTAATTAAATAATATTTATAATTGTGAATTAATATATAAATGCACTAAAACATAAATCACATATTAACTATCATCAAGTTTCCATTTTGAAAATCACCAATTTCACAAATACTAATAGAATCCACACGTGCATGGATACTAACAATTTCCATTTCCAAAATTCCCAATTTTCAAAAAATCCTCAATTTTCACAGATTCCATATTCCACACATATGATATCACTTATTCTCAAATTCACAAAGTACCTAGCTTTCATAAAACTAACAGCAGGCTCACAACTCACAAGTCAGGGACAGGCTCATAATAAATACTCATAAATACATAATTCATAAATCATAATTGATTACTTTAATTGTTAACTCATAATTTCTTAATAATAAATCAATAAACGATCTAGAAGAACAAAAACGAAAAAAAAAAATGAAGAAAAGTATGATGCTCACCATTTACTTCACGCTATCACGAGTGGCATCAATTACCTGCAATGTAGTGGTGGTGTAGTGCTACATTGGTCGATAGGTCAAAGTCGACAACTCAATGGTGGCTTAACGTGAGTACCGACAACGGAGAATAAGGTTTTGAAATTGGAATTGGATGGAATTGTTTGATTTTGGGTTTGAAGTGCAAAGTACATCTGTGGCTTTATGCGTGTGATTTGTGAAGCGAATAAAACCAAGAAGCCAGATAGGCTTTGCATCTTCAATACATTGGATTGAGTAATTGGGCCTAATATTTTTTTTTCTAAACAAGAGGCCCAAAAGGAAAGGCCTACAACTTAAAAAACAATTGGCCCAAATATTTTTGTTTATCTTCCTAATCACTCCCATTCTTCCTGACCAACTGCACCTATGTTTCAACCTTAAACTTCAATCTTTGTCCATGGCAACACGACGACTGCAGGTTCCAACGGCCAACACGCGCCCTCGTTGGGTATTGGTTCTGCCACAGGCATCAATGATCTAAATGGATTATTGCACCACTCTCAACTAATACAGGGGCACAAGAAGAACAGACGTAGCATATCTTTGTATGTATCATCGAGCAACTCCAATACAATAGTAAAATTATCAAAGCTACTATTCTAAATACATTTTCCTACCTTCTGTCTCAACTCAGCATCGTGATGGTACTTTGTCCAGCAAAAACTCAAATGTTAGAACCTCCTGCAAGATATAATAGAATAAAGTATAATTTCATAAAATTAAGTGAATTGAATTGTAACAACTATATGCAAGAAACAGATTCATTTTATATTGACGTAAATAAAAAAGAAATAATTTAACAAATTAAAGGGAAAAAAATAAGAATTACATACATAAATTCAAAAATTAAAATGAATTAAATAAATATAAAAATTAAAAATAAAGAAATAAAGAACAAAAATAATAAAAATAAAGATCTAATACTAAAAAGCATTATAAATTGAGAAAATTAAATTATGACAAATAGAAAACAGTTCTAAAGTTAAAAAATAGAAGAAGAAGAAAATAATAAATTAAATTAAATAAAAATTAAAGACTAAAATAAGAAAGTAATAATAAATTAAAGAAAATTATAAAACATAAAAATTAAAGCAAGAATGTTGAAAACAATTTTAAATGGAAAAAATAATTATATAAAGAAGAAAATAATTAAGAAATTTTAAAATTATTACTGAAAAAAAATAATAACAACAAAAATTAAACAAAAGAAAATTATAAAAATTAAATATAAATATAAATATAAATACTATTTAATTACAATTGGTAACATTAAATTTTATCATAAAATGAAAATAACTATAAAGAATTTTAAATTGAAAAAAAAATTATTTATAAAATGAAGAAAACAATTAAGAAATTTTAAAACTATTACCTAAAACATAATAATAAAAACAAAAATTGAAAATTTAAACTATCATAAAAAAAATTAATAAACAATTAAAAAATGAAGAAAAAATAAAAATCAACCCAAAAAAGGTTAGTTGACCCAATTGACTGTTAGGGACGACTAGATGAAACCAATTGTTAATAGTCGGGTCGGTGATTGTTAACATTGACGCTTTTTCCATTTTTCCCTGGAATCATCATTTTCGACGAAAAATGGCAATGTCCGCCCCCAAAAAAATCACCTAAATCTTGTATTCACTCAATGATTTACCTAAATAAGGAACATTAGACTAAATAAATGTTAAATTTAATATTTATCATATATGAAAAATCAATTTCATAATCATAAAAACTATGGTTGTTGAAGATAAAGTCATCAATGACTGGGCTGTGTGGTCGCCGGCATTAGATTGATAGTGAGGGTGGTGTGATCGACGGGGATCCTAACTGATTTTATTTTTTTTCATTTTTTTGTCCACCGTTTGCACAAGATGAAGTGAGGGTATTTTTGACTTTTGATGTTTCACTTCACAATTTAACTGTTATCTTTTTTTTTTTTTTAATGGTCAAAAAGGCCTTATTGGAAATATGCACTACAACAAAAATGACCTTTTGCGATATGCAAAATGCAACATTCGTTAATTAAATGTTGCTAAAGGGGTCAATCGCAACTTTCAAATACGTGAATGTCCTCATTGCTTAATATAATTGAGTTTTGGCAACATTTTTTAAGTGAATGTTGCTAATGTCACCTTTTTGCAACGTTTATTTAGTATTGCGAAAAGTTTTCTCTTTCGCAACATTTATAAAACGTTGCAAAAAGTTTTGTCTTTCGCAACGTTTTATAAATGTTATAAAACGTTGCAAAAAACCTTTCCTTTTAGGATTATTAATGGACGAGACAAAAAGGAAAAAATGGGCAGAGGTAATACTCCTCAAACTACGAATTTTACTCCCACTCTTCGAGATCGGGTCTCTTTTCCTCTCCATCTCGCCGCCTTCCACCACTAACCATCGGCTACTCTCATCTCTCTACCTCTCCGTCTCTCTAAAAAAGGATCAAAGTTGAAAAAAAAATTATTCACAAAATCTTTAATCAAATTAGGGTTTGAAAAAAAAAATATTTCCCCCAATTCTTTTAATTATTCCTCTGAGACTTAAGGCTCCGATGTTGAAGAAGTCAAAGTCTTTTAGTTGTTTGTTTATCCTTTTGTTAATAAACCCTACTTGTTAGGGTCTTGCTCTGTTGTTTGATTCAGTCTTCAACTAGAATACCACGTTCATAGGAATGTAGAACGTGGGCTGTTATTTTCTTATTTCCTATTCTAGTTTGTAAGGCTATATTAGCCGAAAGCCTTCTTTGAATTCAATAAGAGTTATTCTCCAAATATTGCAGGGTATTATGTCTAGAGTTTAAGTTTTCAACAAATATTTGGTATCAGAGACTCATCACAAGAGCCTGACCAAGAGATAGAGAAAGGAAAGAGTGTCTGTGATCCAAGTATGGCTACAGAAAATAACTTTCTTCAACCTGTAATTCCTAAGTTTGATGGCCATTATGATCACTGGTCAATGTTTATGGAAAACTTCCTTCGATCGAAGGAATATTGGGAGTTTAGTGGAGAATGGAATAGTTGCGGCACCAGAGAAAGCAGTGTTGATTGAGGCTCAACGCAAGCTAATGGAGGATCAGAAGTTGAAAGATTTGAAGGTCAAGAATTATTTATTTCAGGCTATAGATCGGAAGATTATAGAGACCATTCTTGTCAAGGATATAGGAAAGCAAATTTGGGACTTGATGAAGCAAAAATATCAGGGTTCAATAAGAGTGAAGCGAGCACAATTGCAAGCCCTAAGAAGAGAGCTTGAGGTCTTGCAGATAAAGGAAGGAGAAGGAATGGACGAGTACTCTGCTCGTACTCATACCATTGCTAACAAGATAAAGATACATGGTGAGAAGATGGATCAAGTTGTTATTATTGAGAAAATTTTGAGGTCTATGACTTTGAAATTTGATTATATCATGTGTTTAGTGGAAGAATCTAATGATTTGGACACTCTAGCAATTGATAAGTTACAAAGCAGCTTACTAGTGTATGGGGAAAGGATGAATGGGCATAGAAGTGGTGAAAAACGAGTACTCAAAGTCTCATATGAGGACAGAGTTGGAGGTAGAGGAAGGGATGTGGAGCTTACAGAGGAAGAGGCCGAGGCAGAGGAAGACAACCTTTCAACAAAGAAATTGTGGAATGTTACAAGTGCCACAAACTAGGACACTTTCAATACGAGTGTCCAAGCTGGGAAAGGAATGCAAACTATGTTGAGTTGAGGGAGGAAGATGAGATGTTGTTAATGTTGTATATAGAACTTAAAAACTCGAGAAGGGAGGATGTGTGGTTCCTCGACTCTGGTTGTAGTAACCATATGAGTTGGAACAAGAAATGGTTCTCACTCCTTGATGAAAGTTCCAAACATTCTGTAAAACTTGGGAATGACAGCAGTATGGGAGCCACTAGAAAAGAAAGTATAAGGATGGAGGTTGGTGGGATTACACAAGTGATTACAGAAGTGTTCTACATACCAGAGTTAAAGGACAACCTTCTTAGCATCAGACAGCTTCAAGAAAAAAGTCTTGTCATCCTAATTCATAAAGGAACGTGTAAGTTGTATCATCCAAGGAGAGGTCTAATCATGCAGAGTACAATGTCTACAAACAAAATGTTCGTCTTACTAGCTACTGCGTTACATTATGTCTCTACTTGTCTTCTAACAGCCTCAGAAGATGTGTCACACCTATGGCACTGTAGGTTTGGTCACCTAAATTTTAAGAGCTTGAGAATGTTGCAATATAAGAAAATGGTGAAGGGTATGCCTTTATGCAAGACTCCGAGCGAAATATGCACCAACTGCCTAGTGGGAAAACAACACTGAGGGACTATACCAAGGAAAAGCTCATGGAGGGCTCCTCAAAGGCTGCAGCTAGTCCACGCTGACATTTGTGGACCGATCAAACCAATGTCAAGCAGCAAAGTTTTGATCAGCTTCATTGATGATTTTAGCAGAAAAACTTGGATTTATTTCTTGTGTGAAAAGTCAGAAGCATTTGGTGTGTTTAAAATTTTCAAGCAACTTGTTGAGAAGGAAATTGGTGAATTCATAAAATGCTTGCGCACGGATAGGGGAGGTGAATTTACATCTTCTGAGTTCAATCATTACTGTGAAAATAATGGTATTAGAAGGCAGTTGACGGCAACCTATACACCCCAGCAAAACGGGGTTGTTGAGCAAAAGAATCGAACTTAATGAATATGCTTCGAAGTATGTTGTCTGAAAAGAAGGTTCCTAAAATATTTTGGCCAGAAGTTGAGAAGTGGAGTGTGCATGTGTTGAATCAAAGCCCAACCTTGGCCTTAAAGGATGTGACTCCAGAAGAAGCTTGGAGTGGTATCAAACCTATAGTTGACTATTTTCGGGTATTTAGATGTGTTGCACATGTACACGTTCCCGACAACAAGAGGTTAAAGTTAGATGATAAGAGTTTTTCGTGTGTGTTGTTGGGAAAGGGTGAAGAATCAAAGGCCTGTAGGCTTTATGACCCTGTTGCTAAACATATTGTGGTGAGCAGGGATGTAGATTTTGAAGAAAATGAGTGCTGAGATTGGGAAAGAAGTGCAGAAAGAGTAAGGCTTGACGTTTTAGAATGGAGAGATGATGATGACGGCGAGGGCAGTAAGCTTGAGGAAGAAGAAAGTAGAGTGAGCTCATCATCACATAAGCCTCTTGATGAAAATTCACCAAGCTCGGATGAGGGGAGGACTAGAAAACGGCCTACTTGGTTGGAAAACTATGTTAGTGGTGAAGACTTAGGTATGTTTGAAGAAGAAGATGGTGCCATGTTTGTTGCTACCGACCCTATTACATTCTAGAAGGCTGCCAAAAGTCCAAAGTGGAAAGAAGCTATAGATTTGGAAATTGAAGCTATCGAAAGGAAAGGGACTTAGGAGCTGACCACTCTACCTGCTGGAGCCAAGAAAATTGGTGTGAAATGGGTGTTTAAAACAAAGCTCAACGAGCATAGAGCCGTGGACAAATGCAAAGCTCGTCTCATGGCAAAAGGGTCTGCACAAGAGCGTGGAATTGATTATAATGAGGTGTTTGCCCCAGTTGCAAGATGGGACATTATCAGATTGGTGATTGCTCTTGCAGCTCAGAAGGGGTGGAATATCTTCCAACTAGATGTGAAGAGTGCTTCTTGCATGGTGAATTGACCAATGAAGTTTTTGTGGATCAACCTCAAGGTTACGAAAGAAAAGGGGAGAAGGACAAGCTCTACAAGCTAAGGAAGGCGCTCGAAGGACAAGCTCTACAAGCTAAGGAAGGCGCTCTATGGTCTTAAGCAGGCTCCAAGGGATTGGTACAGTCGGATCGAGTCTTATTTTGTGAAGGAGGTTCGAAAAGTGCAATTTTGAGCATACACTATTTATCAAGTCCTGTAAAGGAGGTAAACTTCTTATTGTTAGTTTGTTTGTTGACGATCTTATATTTACTAGTAATGATGTGGAGATGTTTGAGAAGTTTAAAAAATCTATGATGCTCGAGTTTGAAATGACTGATCTTGGAAGGATTAGATACTTCCTTGGAGTTGAAGTTTCACAAAATGAAGATGGGATCTACATCAGTCAAAAGAAGTATGCTTGAGACGTATTGGAAATGTTTGGACTGGCAAATAACAACTCAGTCAAAAACCCTATTGTATCAGGATTTAAGTTGATGAAGGATGAGATGGGAGCTAAAGTTGATGCCACTGCTTTCAAGCAAATAGCTAGTAGTCTTATGTATCTAATTGTAACAAGGCCTAACTTAATGCATGTTGTTGGTTTAATTAGCAGATACATGGGGAGTCCCACTGAACTACATTTACAAGCAGCAAATAGAGTGCTTTGCTATGTGAAAGGCAATGTGGACTTGGGGATCGTTTACAAGAAGGGTAAAGATGGGATTTTGCTGGGTTACATTGATAGTGACTATGCAGGTGACTTAGATTATCGAAGAAGCACTACTGGTTACGTCTTCAAGCTTGGAACTGGAGTTGTAGCTTGATCAATGAAGAAACAACCAATTGTGACTTTATCCACCATTGAGGTAGAGTAAGTAGCTGCTGCCTCGTGTGCTTGCCAGGGAATTTGTATGAGGAAAGTACTGGAAAAGCTCGGTCACATTCAAAACAGGAGTACTATAGTGTTCTGTGATAATTGCTCTACTATAAAATTGTCAAAAAACCCTATGCTACATAGGAGGAACAAACATATTGACATAAGGTTCCATTTTCTTCGTGACCTTGTTAAAGATAGAGTTTTTGAACTTGTTCATTGTGCTACAGGGAATCAAGTTGCTTATGTTATGACCAAGCCATTGAAGCTTGATGTGTTCTTGAGGCTTCGAGAGCAGCTCAGTGTATGTGCAGTACCAGAGGTAAATTGTTTGCAGACTACAAATCAATTTAGGGAAGGAAATTGTTGAAGAAGTCAAAGTCTTTTAGTTGTTTGTTTATCCTTCTGTTAATAAACCCTATTTGTTAGGGTCTTGCTCTGTTATTTGATTCAGTATTCAACTAGAATACCACGTTCATAGGAGTGTAGAACATGGGCTGTTATTTTATTATTTCCTGTTTCAGTTTGTAAGGCTATATTAGCCGAATGCCTTCTTTGAATTCAATAAGAGATATTCTCCAAATATTGCATAATATTCTGTCTAAGTCTTCAACATCCGATTCCCCTTTTTCCTTTTCAAACCTTGTGAAATAGATTTGCAAAGTTCCCCTTTTTACTTGTGTCGACTTCAGCAAACTCCATTTTTCGGCGGCAAATTGGAAAATGGTTTCCCCGGAAAAAAACGAAGAACCGTGCTATGGGGACACCCCGTCCAAACAGAGGCCTATGTGGCAGCTGCTGCCGCTTTGGACAGGGGCCTGTTCAAGCAGTATAACCCAAAAACGAATTGGTTGGATGATTATGTGGTCGAGGATGTCACTGTTCCTGAAGGGAATCTCTCTGCTCAAGATTCTGGATTTTCGTGCCAAAAACGAATTGGTTGGATGATTATGTGGTCGAGGATGTCACTGTTCCTGAAGGGAATCTCTCTGCTCAAGATTCTGGATTTTCGTGGTCTGTGCAACCATTGAATGGTTCATCCATTGTCAGGTAATGTCTGGGAATTTCTTCATTTCGATTTTGCACCGCTTTATTTTCAATTTTCTATACTACTTGTAATTAATAAAACTTTGGACTTTTCAGCTAGTGATCTAAAAGAAAAATATTGTACTTTTTTGTTTTTGTAATTTTTAGTGGTGCTTACAATCATTTGGCAGTTGGTGATGAAATTTTAGCTGTTTTCGGATTTTAAGGGACTCGTGCATCCCCCTCCTCCCTTTTTGTTTCCTTAATTTCATATTTTTTGGGTTTATGTAATCTATTCCACTTTTCCCCCAATTTTCCCATTTTATCTAGTCCTTTTGTAGCCACGAATTTTGTGTCAGGAGTTGATTAGTTGGAAATGGTCTTCTAACCTAATAATTAAAAGTAAATAATTCTCTAATAGCAGTTGAAGTCTCTTACTGTTTAATGCGTCTATGAATATAAAATTTATGTATGATAGTGCAAATATTTTCTATGTCTGGGGCTGTATTTAGATTACGTCATTCATTTGATGTGGGAGAATGGAGGAAGTTGTTTTCAATGTCATATATTAGTATTGAAGGATTTTCGTGTATTGTAATTTTGGATAGTTATCCTCATGAAGATTTTGTTATTACCATTGCAATTACTGGTACACAAAGATTTATATGCTAAATTTAGGTATGTTCTGGGTTGTTATTTAGGTTCCAGATCAAAATGATATGTGCTTATCATAAATCAGAAAAAGAGGAGAATCAGTTTGCTCTAGATCAGATTTCATATGTTCTAATTTAAATGATTTTTTTTTCCTCTCAGGCAGTCCATGTACCCGATATCTTTGATAGTTGATTTGTTGAAGCTTCTTTTCAAAATTTTATTATACCTAATTAACACTACAATAGCTGCCTTTTCTCAAAAGGATACCACTATTTCCATCCACATTTTTTATATGTACATCCCACTCTAAGTTCATCCCTAATAAAATTAAAAAAAAAAAAAATACTATGTGCATCCACATTATATTACAATCTTGTCATTATTAAATTCATTCATTTAAATATTATATATCCACGTGAATTTTTTATATTCATCCCATTTTAAATACATCCCTAACACTGTAGATTAACACAATCCCCAAAACCATAAACTCTTAAACCAAATGAATGAAATAATAACAAAGTTGAACTTATTGAACATTAAGTTAACATATATTATTCAACTAACCATGTTAACAATGTTTTTTTAGAAATTTTATCATTCTTATTCATACAACTCAATTCATCAAAGGCAAACCATCATAAATCAACATCCAAATTAGGAGGAGGGTTGTCTCTAGAGAAAGTATACCGAGTAACATTTGGAACTCATCGCGTATGGACTATGATTGGTTTGCTTCAATCATCTCTTCCCTAGCTTTATTCATATTTCAGGTTTTTTGCTTGAAAGATTTTTTCGTATTTATCTATTAAGTATTTATCAGGGGCGAAGTGTCATTATCTTTCCCGCCACAGCTAAAGACATGCCACCTTTAGCCTCAAGTCATTCGTTTTTTGAATCTAATGCTCTGTTGTGTATTCAGCTCAAGAATTTCATGTTCTTTTTCCCACTTTTGAGATTGATCTGTGGTATATCATTGCATTAAGTTTTCATCTTTCAGGTTAATTTGTTTAAAATCTTGTGGTACCAATGCAATTTTCCAAAATTATAAGTTGTGTACATTTGACACATATATTTTACTATTCAGAAATTACAAGTTGAAATCGAAGGCTAACCTATCTGAGCTTTTATATTTCTTTTTCATTTTCCTTCCATTAGTTGAATAAAATTAACCTCAAGGTTTTGTATAGGTCTTTGATTCCTGTGAAGAGAATGGGGAAGTTAGAAAGGACTAATTAAAACTCAATCATAATATCTTCCCTCAAAGGGTTAATTAAAAGTCAATCATAATATCTTTTTCCCCCTTTAATATAGCTGAAAATCGTTGAAATAATGTTGTTTGTTTGAATATATTTTCCCCCAGTATGATCTTGTACTGATTTTGCTATTATTTTCTTTCCATTTCTTATTGAAATGTGCCCCTTATGAATTTAAAACTTCTGTTTAGATCCCTCCTTCTATTATTGATTTGCTCTGTATTGTAGCAGTATTTTATGAGATTGTTGAAAAATATGCCATTAGCTAGAATTTATTTTCTTTAGGAAAATGATGAGTCAAAGATTTGCGTATAGACTAGTAACATAGTACTTGATTGATTTAATGGAACGTCTATTAAAAGATTCAAGCTTTAGATTCCTTTTTGTTGGATTTAGAGTGTAGAAGCCACCATCTTGCTGGGGTGGTTTAGCATGACTTCTTACGAGCTTAGATGATGTTCTTTAAATGGATAATAAAGGATTCTAATTAAACATAAATTTTAAAAGAATAAAAAAAGATTTAGGATAATTTAATGAAATAAAATTAGTGGATCAATTTAGAGTTTATGCATTTTCATTAATTCTATTTATGTCTATTTAAGTAAATTTACTTAGGATTTAAACTATAATAAAAATTTATTTTTAAAAGTGGATGTATATATAAAAGTGGATGGAAATAGCGATACCCTTTCAAAGTCTGGTAATCTTATATTTTAATGAAGAAGATTATGCTTTCTAATAAAATTAAAGGCGTTTTCTTGGTTTATTGTCTTGTGAAAAGCATAGTCATTCTACTCACATTGGAAAAGTTCTTTTGGTCATTAACTTTTATTGCCAGACGCTTCTTTTCTATTATGCGGATTTGGTTATAGTTTGGGCTATTTATTGTTTTGAAACTATTAATCTTACATTTGATCGTGCACTGAGATTGAGGTGCTAGATGGTAAGTGTTATGCCTTAAATCCAATCGATTTAGGTTATAAACGCTTTTAATATATTTAATGCATTTGATTTTGACGAGATCTATTATTTATTTAAATTAATTTTGTAATAAATAATATTAAATAATAGAATCCGAAGATCCGATTTTTAGATAATCTGTTAATTACAAGGAGTTGTGATTGTGAGATACAAATTACATATAATTGGATCTTGAATAAACTATGGTCGTAAGTAATAACGAGATACGGATATCGTTAATACAGTTAGACCATCACGTGTGGCATTTCTTACTTGTGAAGTAAGTAGCTGATCTCACAAGCTAAAGTGTGGTGACACTTAAATGAACACGTGGATGTTTTGTTATAAAACAAAACATTGGAGACCCGCTAAGAGATTCCACATGGATAACTATCTGAGTGTCAGTGGCTAATCTTTAACGTTCGGTAGTGGAATTGGTCCTTTGACTTAAGGTCGTTATGGTACCTTATATGAGGACGGCCATACTTTGGCAGTGTTGGATGTTGCTCTGAAAGGGGCCGCTAATACGACATCGTTCGGGTACGTCAAGAATCGTATGAAGGTTATGATTGATCAATAAAGGATTCGTCACTTTTAGATAGTAGGAGATTATGATCTGCGTTTCATTCAATTAAGTCGATGATGAAATCCTTGGCCAAGGAATACTCATAAGTCGAAAAGGAGTTTTCGATTTATATTGATTTAATAGTGGAGTGAAAGATATGATCAATAATCGAGATTGACACAATTTCATATCTCGTAATTGATCGGATCGTATTGACGAAGGGATAATAGTTTCACGGTAAACGAACGAATTTGGTTTTGACATACCACGTGACATTTCCCGTCACATGTATTGCCCTGACACATTGCTAGATGTCAATCAGGGACGGTGAGTGTGAATTGACGATAAATTAAAAGGGTGTATTAATTTATCAATTTTGATTAGATCAAAATAATATTTCACGACGTTAGGTATCGTCGTCGGGAACCTAATGGGTCGCACACAAAAGAAAATTGGAAGATTGCAAATTGTCAATTGGTTAATTTAACAATCGTTGGATAAATTAATTAATTGAATTTGTTATTTATATTCCTGAATTATTAATTGGATTAATTAATTCACGGACCGGGTTTAATTAATTGGATTAATTAAATATTGGACCGGACCAAGCCAGATCCGTTTGGGTTTATATATATACATAGCTAGGGTTTGAGGTTCAAAAGGTTTTCATTATTATTCTTGCTGACACAAGAGAGAAACCCTAGCAGTTGCAGTCTATTTTCTATGTGGATTTCATTGGAGGCTGGACAATTGGACAGCTGTGAGAGGCAAATTCAAGCTGCTGGAAAGGAATAACGCGAAAGAATTTGCAAATTACAAGAAAAGGTATATTTCTTATCACAGTTTTTATTCAAATACAAAGCTGAATCCTAAATGAGAATTGAAATTTGTTAAATTTCGCTGCGCATATTTTAAGTAAATTCCCAACAAGATGGTATTTTTTTTTATTAAGATTTAGTCTTTCCTGTTTGAAGATAGGTTATGATGAAGTTCCACTAATGAGGGTTCCTGAGTCTTGTCAGATGAGTGAATAATGGGTCTTTCTGACGTCCCTGCATAACTTCCTGATGTATTTTTCCAATTTTGAAAGAGGTCATATATTCACCGTGTTTACAACTGCTCCTCTCCATGCATTTCTTTCTCAATTCTCATTAACTTAATATTTTGTCAATTCATTACTTTTCTTATCCTTTCCTTTTCTGTAACCTTACAACGTTGAAAATGATTGCTCATTTGGGTATTCAGATGTCCAGGAGGAACTTGGCTCAAAGAAGCGGTAAAGAACTATTACATATTTTGTATTGGTCCAAAGTTTTTGTAAAGATGGTGAATTGCGTTCATTAGAACCAAATATTCCCCAAACTTAGGAACAGTTACGTTTAATCTGCATTTTTTTTTTTGGTATGTGTGGGAGAGTGGGTGGTGGTGGTGGTGGTGGGAACCTGCCTCAATCTTATGAAATGAACATGGCTAATGCAGATTCTGACAATTCATAAAATGGAACTGTTATTTGTGTGTGAAAAAATTAAACTACCCCATGGATATGGGGTTACTTTGTGTTTAAATCAATATATCCAGTTTATAAAATCCTTGTTCTATCAGACTATGTTTCATCTCAACTTGTTATGTTCTTCATAGGGCTAGAGCTGAGTCTTGTGCTCCATCGAGGTCCAAAGCAAGAAGGGAGAAGATGAATGACAAGTGCGACCACATTCTTTATTCCTCTCAAAGAAGAAATGATAATCCTCTTTTTTTTTTTTTTTTTTTTGCATATCTACTTTGGCTTACTAATTCTTTAAAGATTGTACTCTACAAATGCAGGACTTGCAATTCTTTGGCGATTGTCACTAATTTTTTGGCTTACTACTGGATTACTGCATTTAAAAAAATAAATAAATAAATAAAAAGGGACTTGCAATTGTTGAGAGCAATGAGGGCTGGGGTGAGGAGCACATGACACTAAAACTTGGTACAAGAACATACTGAAATATCATTAATTTCAATATGAATTAGATGAAGAGAAGTTGATTATGTTTTCAATAGCATGCTTTCATTTTTTACATTATGTATTCAAGTGTATAGGTGAATATTGTCATGCTTCACATTATGTATTCAAAAATTTGTAATGAAATTATCAATTTTTGTGCAATTTCAAAATTTGTCATTTTCAATTTTGCAAGTCAATTTACATAAATTACTGTATAAAAAAATAAAAAAATAAAAAAGTTGTTGTGAAACACTTTCGGCAACGTTTTTTAAATGTTGTTGTATCCTTCCGCTCTACAGCAACATTGAGGTTTACAACATATGTCCAAAAAACACTTTTGGCAACGTTTTTTAAATGTTGTTGTATCCTTTCGCTCTACGGCAATACTGAGGTTTGCTGCATACGTCCAAACTTTACAAAAGATCTTCACCAACATTTTTTTGAACGTTGCAAAAGGCTGTTTTTGTTGTACTTAAAACGCCGCCATTTCCATGTATTTCGTCAAAAGACTAGTTCTATAGGCACAAGAAACAAATAGGGCATGCTTAACATTTTGGAAAATGAGAAAAACATCATCTTCCAGGGAGTGATTGGTGTTGGAAATTTAGAGATTGAACAACAAATTTTAAAAGAGGAGAAGAATATTCAAGGTAACTCTTACTTTATTTCTTGACAGCTCCAAAAATGACTTACCGAAAATAAGTACAATCACTAACCTTTTATATGCTTCACAAAATAAGAATTTAATCTAATACATGTAATAGTTATTATTTGCAAATTAATCTCCAATATAATTCATGTATTTTCCAAGTACATGAATAAACTAAAGCATTACCGTATTCATAAATAATTACAAAAGAAATTAATGAACTTGACTAAATAAATGATGAACTTGATTAAATAAATGAAGTTTATATTTTCAATGCCCTCTCTTTAACATCATTTATCGTAAATCCGAGCAAATTTTGAAACTTTAAAAATGATCAATCATCAAAGGCTTAGTGAAAATTTCTATAATTTGATCTTGAGACTTTACGAACTTCAATTTCACATATTATTTGTTTACAAAGTCTAGAGAAAAAAATGATATTTCATGCCAATGTGCTTGCTTAGATCATGAAAAACTGGATTTTTGGCTAATGACAATGCCGATGAAATGCGTTAACAGGGTGGATCGAATGTTTTCTAACGTATTCTTATTTTTGTTATCAGTAAAAATTTCGGTAGAATCACTTTGTTACAATTTAACTTTCTTTAACAAACTAATCGATAGAAATACTTGACAAATACAAGATGTAACAGCAACATACTCCACTTCACAATTTGAAAGTGTAACAATCAATTGCTTTTTTGATGACCATGTAAAATCATAACTCCCATATAGAACACATACAACCCGTACTTTTTCAGTCATCATAAACTCTGATGTTATCACTATTTCTCTGTCACCAAGCTTGAAATCGTTCGTACATAAATAAAATAAACCATAGCAAATAGTACCATTTGATGTATTACAAAATTCTTTCACAATCTTCAAATGTGTAATTGTAGGGACTACATGTATCCACTAACTAGACCAATTCTAAACAAAATATCAGGCCTCATACATGATTAGTACCTCAAATTTCCAACAATACTCTTATAAAGAGTCTAATTAACTTTCTCTCCTTCATAAATTTCAATAATTTTATTTCGTAATCAACAGATGTGCAAATTGGCTTTCAATCATCCATCTTGAAAATTTCAAGAATTTTCTTAGCATAAACTTCTTGAGAGAGAAAAGATCCCATCTTTTGCTTATTTCACTTTGAAGCCAAGATAATAAGTCATTAACTCGTTGTCTTTCATCTTGAGTTCTTTCACCAAAATTCTCTTGAACTCATCAAATAATCTTAAATTACTGAATGTAAAATTAGATCATTCAAATACAAGTAAACAATTAGCATATCATCATTAGCATTCACCATCTGATAGAGAGTATGCTCATAACGACATTTGATAAGTCCATTCACATGAAGAAATTTATTAAGTTTTGACTTCCAATCCTTTGGAGTTTACTTTAAATCATACAAGGCTCTCTTCAACTTCAAAACCTTGTCTTTGTACCTTTTACAACATGCACAGGAGGTGTAGTATGCATACATCTTCTTGCAGAAATTCATTCGAAAATGCCAATTTGACGTCCGTTTGGTAAATCTTTCAATCATATTGTGCCGTCATGAAAACAATAAGTCTTACTATTTCGAAACAAGCTACTGGTACAATTACTTCATCATAGTTGACACCATACTTCTAACTATAGTATTTAGCTACTAATTTTACCATGTAGCATTCGATTTTACCATTTGTATTTTTTCCTCCTTGTTCATTTGACTCCGATTGAGTTTTGATCATTAGGCTAGCTCCTAGGTATCATTCTTTTCAATAGCTTCAATTTCTTTGATCATGACTTTCTTCCATTTATCATTGTTAGGCCTAGACACGATTTATCTTATAGATTGATGGATTTAATCCCAAAGAAATTGCAGAAAAATTAAAAGAAATCAGAACGCAAGTTATGTTTCGCCCTAAAAAAGGCCCAAATGTTCAGTCTTGTGATCTAATCACCCGTTGAGCATTTGCAATCAGATATAACTCTAGATCCACTAAGAAAATCCCAGAAATAGTTACAAAATGTACGAAGAAACCCATGGTTTCTTTGAGTACTTTCTAGCCTCTTTTGAACCCCTAATCACACTACACTCAATCTCAAAATGACTGTACTAAACACTCATTTTGCAAGACAAGATTGAAGAAATCACAAAGGATCGATTACAGATTTCACAAAAAGAATAGCCCTAACTATCACTCGGAGAAAGGGAAAAGATGGAGGAAGCAGTCTCGAAGCATCTGGAATGACAAAAGGCAAAGACCAAGTTAAATATCTGGTCAAGTCAAGAGTCATGATCCAAGAGACGAAAATCAGCCACGTGAATAATTGACACTCATTCCTCAAGAGGCAAAGTCGCATAACCACTTAAAGCGCATTTCATTAAATGTTATAACCCGGATCAATCCAACTTAATTAACATTGTTCCAAGTATGTCAAGAAATGTGAGACAGCCCAAAACAATTAACAACCTTCACCTTGTTGAACTATTTCTTGGCATTTATTAATGGATCTAGTCATCTATATCAATTGTTTCACTTGCTCTAAAATACCAGTGAAAAGAAAAAGAATTTAGTTAGTACATATTCCAAAATATATACTTGAAGTTCTAACTATCACTACCTCAAGTGATATTAACAATCTTCAAGCAATTTTTGAATTTATTCAAAGGTAATACATTAGTCCCAAAATCTGAAGGTTTAAATTCTATAGGTATTTTAATTAAACTGATCAAACCTTTTTCTGCCATGTTTCTCACAAAGTGATATTTTATTTCTATATGTTTAGTCCTATTATGGTACACAGGATTTCTACTTAAATATATGATAGAATCATTTACGAATCCAATTTCATTTAATAAGCCTCTGAGCCAAATACTTTCTTTTGCAGCATTACATGCAGCTATATATTCAGCTTCAATAGAGGACAAGGCAATCAATTTTTGTAATTGTGACTTCCAACTAATGCAACCATCACACTGACTAAAAATATAAGTAGATGTGGATCTCCTTCTATCTAAGTCATCAGCAAAGTCTGAGTCAGTGTAACCTTTCAATTTTACTACTTTCTTGCTTCTTTTTAACAATAAACCCATATCAAATGAACCCTTTAAGTATATCAATAATCATTTCATGGCCAGCCAGATTGTTTCACCTGGATTGGCCATAAACCTACTAAGAATACTAATTCCATGTACTAAGTCGGGTTTAGTACAAACCATAAGGTACGTTATTGAATCCACAGCATTAGCATAAGGAATATTCTTCATTCTCCAAAATTCATCATCTGTTTTTGGTGAATATTCATTTGACAGTTTAAAATGATTTGCAATGGGTAAAGTGATATGTTTACACTCGAGCATAGAAAATTTTTCAAGTATTTACTTTACATAAGAGCCTTATTTTAGCATCAATATACAGTTATCCCTATCTCTTTTTATCTTCATCCCAAAAATCCTTTTAGCTTATCCCAAATCTTTCATTTCAAATTCAGATTTTAATTTTGACTTAATGATATCAATTTCAGATTTATTATGGCAGACAAGCAACATATGATCAACATATAATAACAAGTAAATGGATTCAGACCCTCCTGAACCTTTATAAAAGAAACAGGAGTCATAATTGCTTTTTACAAAACTTAAAGTCTGCACATAGGAATCAAACTTCATGTACCATTGCCAAGGGACTTGTTTCAACCGATAGAGGGATTTTCTCAACAGGCAAACCTTTTCAGTCTAAGATTTTACCTCAAACCTAGTGGGTTGTTTCATATATATGATTTCATTAAGGTCGCCATTTAGAAAGGTTGTTTTAATGTCAAGTTGTTCCAACTCCCAATTGAAATGGGCAATAGGAGCTAGCAAAATTCTGGTTGAGGTATATTTTGCAACAGTAGAAAATATATCATTATAATCTATCCCTTCTTTTTGAGTAAACTCCTTAGCCACTAATCTGGTCATATATCTCTTATTTTCTGAATTGGCATCTCTTTGTTTAGTTTTGAAAATCCACTTACAATCTATTATCTTATGATTCTTAGGTTTATCAACCAAGTTCCATTTTTAATGAAAGAGTCCATTCTTCATTCATGGCCTCTTTCCAAAGTTTAGAGTAAGGACATTTAATAGCTCCATCATAAGTAGTAGGTTAAGAATTTAAAGAATCAAGAGCAAAAAATAGAGTTACAAATTCTTCATTATTGAATCTGTTAAAAGGTATTATAGTTGTCCTTTCTCTATCTCTAGTTAATTGATAATCAACTAGAGTGGGATTAATGGCTTTATTTTCATTTTCCGATTCATCTTGTTCCTCATTTGTTTCAGATTGAGTGGGCTCCACCTAGGGATGGCAATGGTTTGGTTTCAGTTCAGTTCAACCAAAACCATCATCGAATCATCAAATTTTTTGCCATACCATAACCGCATCATAACCACGTAAATCGGTTTAGTTCGATTTAGTTCGTCTCGGTTCAGCTCGATTCAGTTCGGTTAATAACCATGAAAATAAATTAT